TATGTATAGAGAGAGTGTGTTACTGTTTCAAATGACTACACACACTTGTGTCTACCCATAATTGGTTCTGTCATTCCATATAATCTCAACGGGTAAGGATGTTTTCAGTTTCCTTACAAACACACCTCTAACACACCACTTTCATTACTAGTGGTAGTGGTGGTAGTCTCTCTGTTATTCAACTTCTGGAGAAAACTAGTCCTCACTATTAGCATCTCACCAACACCAAGGGAACAGATTCTTAACCAAAGGACAACAGAAGTCTCTTGAGGTATCTGTGACTCCTCTGAAAACCAGAGGCCGCAGGCAGGGTTCAGAGCCTGGCCCAAGGTCCTGGATGGAGTTACAAGGTAAACTGGAGACACTGGCCACCAGGGTCCCACACTCAGCCCCAGGTTGTGCATCGGTGCAGCTTTCCTGAGTGGATATAAACATGTCTGTAAATCATTTTTTTACTTCTTCCAACTCTAAGAAAAATAATGATGTTCACTTCCGAGAATTAGGGAAGTCTGCTATTAAAAAGATCATTTAAACCAAAACAATGGCTAAAGTTCTGTTTTCCCAATGAATTGGTCTTTCCAAATCTGAGGTTTTTTTTCTCCATCAATAAACAAAGGAAAGACATTTTTAATGGGCCACACTAGGGAAAGAAAATGTTTTTTGCATTCCACTAACCTCAGCTGCAGAACAGAAATCTAATGCCAGAAGCATCAAAGAAAAGAGAGCCGCAGGAGATAGGCCCAGCCCACACGTTGCTGCTGCAAGTACTCACTTGCATTTCCATCTTGCAATTGCAAATCCTTTAAGCCATAGTCCATCTCGAATTGAATAAAAAGCTAATAGTTAACTTGATGCCTTCTTCAGGAAAAATAATTTAGAAATTAAATTGTACACATAGATAAGAGGGTTACGCCACTGGCAATGTTAACCAGTTTGGAATTTTCAAAGGATGTCCAATGTCTCTAGTTTTTATTTGGCCATATCTGAATCTCAGTGTTTTTTTTTTTAATCATGTTTAGTTGTTGTTACTGCTTTTTAAGCAATAAATTTAAAGCTCAGAAAATTAAAAACAAAATATGACTATTAAAAAGACACTGAAACAAATCTAGTCTGCAGTTTTAAGATTAAGAAAGTATGGCTGAGAGAAGCAGAAACACAATGGGACCCAAGCCTGCGGATATTATGGCTCATCTTACCTCTGCTCCTCTTCACACACAGCTGCTTCTCAGAAGTATACTAAAGCAGGCAAAATACTGGGTATTTGTCAATAGGAAGAACAACTTTTGAGGCACCAATTTCTAGTGGGTAAGAGCTTACAAAAACACAAAGGGGCTTCCTTCATGGCTCAGAGTCCAGGGGTGACATGCCAGCCCGGCCCTGCCACAGCCACCACAGTGGGGACTCGAAACTCCAGAAATCTGTAGCAGGCTAACTTTCAAGCTGATAATTGCATATGGCCTGCCAATGGCCCTTGGCAGAGAAAAGGTTCCCCAGGCCTGTTCCAGACGTCATTCAGCTGTTAGCACAACCACTTTTACATGTGAGGTGACCATGACCTCAAAGGTTGTGACATACAAAGTCTCCCCCAGTATACAGGCAGAAGCAGCATTTCCGAGCTGCCAGCACAAGGCCCTGTCTGTCCCATTAGACTGACTTTCCACATTACAGTCCAGGACAGCATCTGTCCAACTTAAATCTTATGGGCCAGTGTGTAACACAGCACATTACACCGCCTTGCAGCATTGGTATCCCACAGGGAAGTACCAGTTCTGCCGTCAATCTAGCCCCCTGCTAGTGCAGCTGGGAAGGAAGTGAAAGATGCCCCATGTACTTGGACCACTGTCACCCATGGGGGACACCAGGATGGAGTTCCAGGCATAAGGCTTTGGCATGCCCCAGCCCTGGCTACTGGGTCCCTTCAGGGAGTGAACCAATAGATGGGAGATCTCGCTCTCCTCTCTCTGCTCCCCTTTCTCTGTAGTTTTGCTTTTGAATATATGCATGCATGCACACAACTGCTTAGAAACTCCTAGGTACAGGAGAATACTAGTTCCCGACAGCCCTGGTTACCAAGGTGGTATCTCATAACCTTTTTATTTTTCCAGTCTCTTTCTCTATTTGAATCTTTTCCTTCCAAGGCTACTGCTTCCAAAAGGAAAAACAGCAAAAGCACAGACCTCACCTTTTATGGTAAAAACTTACATTTCAAGCAGCAGACTAGTATGAATGACCCAGGTACCCTCATCCTTAATGATCAGGTGCAAATTTTTCCTACTATTCTTGCTGCCTCTCTAGGCCAGGCCACACGGACTCAGGCCTCCTCAGCCACTTCAAGGTTAACATCTTTCCAGGGAAGCCACCTGAGTGACACAGGTAAGGCCTCCCACTCCACTGCCATTCCTTAAACCTTCAGTGCAGCTCTGTCTCTCTTTGGGTCCCAAAGAGCTCACTGACAAAATGGCTGAGCTCCCATCCTAAAATGCCTAGGATTTCAGGGAGAAGGGACTGCAGGTGGCCTCTGAAATCCACCACATTCAAGTCCTGCCTCTGCCTCTTCCCCGCTAGCCCCATTAGTGGAAGCGAAGAGAAGGGACCATGTCTCTGAATGGGTGAAAGAACGCTTGAGTGCCAAGGAGCATATAAGCCCCCACGGACAGCTGGAGGAACCAGGGACAATCCAATCAAGTAGAGACACAAGGAACCAGGCAGGGAATGTGGGAGGAAGAGCTGACTCATGGCTTTTAGGAGATGAAACATTTAGCATGCAGAATCCACCTTAGATATCATCCTAACAGGACAAACATCACGGAAGCCACAAACATGGCATGCGGCACTGCCCGTGTTGGTTATCTGCTGCTGCACTGCACTAACTCAAGGCAGCGCTGAGGCAGACTCTCTTTTGCAATCTACACAAAGGAGAAAACTCAGAGTTCCTCCTGGGTGACATCCTAGAATGTTGACCAAACAGCCATCCAGGCTGTACAGCAGGGACGTGCATGTATCATCCAGACCCGGCTACCATCATGTCCAACCTATCACTCTGCTTCCTAGCTCCCAGCACCACACAACTCTAAGGGGCATCTTTCACACTGGTGATTACCACAAATCTGGGTGTCTATTAGGCCAACTTTCTGGCAGGAGACAGCACAAGTTTTAACAAAATGGTAACCAACCAAAGAACCAGTTAGACTTGTAGAAGGGCTATCCATTTCAACACCACATAAAAAGTCTATTATCAGGACAGGGATTTCTGTACAGGCAAGGGTGCTTCAAGGGGTGTGCGAAGAGTGGAATTAAAAGATATTTATTAAAAAATGCTTATTTTTTGCAAAATATCTTGGAATCCATGTATGAATGTAAAGAGTTCATGAGAAATCACATTATGAAAAAGCTATGCAAGCGTTTCAATATGCTTTGTGCCAAAGTGAACTTATTGTTTAATTCTATTTTCTCCAATTGTTTCTGGAGTTACTGTTCTACGACCTGTTTACTTGAAACAAAAGGCATGGCAGTGGTGAGGTTCCCATAGCTCTGTTCGAAGTCCCTGAATCTCACGTCATTGTTAGAGATGATGGACAAACTTAGAAAAATACAAATACTAACATAACGGGTGATCCCACAGGGAACAGAAGTCCATGTTCTGGCAATGGGTCACCTCCAGAAATTCTACTGTTAGTTGGGAAAATCTCAAGCAGATAATATCCTGCCTCTAGGTCCTCTGGGGGCTTCCAGAGAGTTCTGGCAAGCCCAAGCATTGACAATAAACCTCCAAGAATTAGCTACCATTAGCAAAATGTGAAACACATAATCCAAAACCCAAACATTACTGAAAAGAAGATGCTCGTGCACGTGACGAGTCTGGAACATTCCGGAAGGTAGATGAAGCATTAAGCCACCAGTGAGGTTAAGACATGAGTTCCCATCTGCACTACATCTAAAGGTCACAGTGGATGACTGTAGTGAGAAAATGGTGATGATTCTCCTCAGTGTTAGATTGAGCTTTTTCTCCTTAAATTTTCTCCTTTACCATTTGGCTTATTAAGGAATAATTCACACAGAATACATTTCATTTTGGCACATACTTCTATGAGAACAACTCACACGATCATCTTACTACTATCATAACACAGATACAAAATTTCATCAAACAAAATTCCCCTGTCCATTTGTAGTTAAACTAGCCCTAGCCCAAAACAGGCACTGAGTTAATGAAGCCAGACTACACTATAATACACATTTCTGCTCTGTCTCAACTTCCCCTTAGATATCTGTCACGTTTCACTGATTCTAAGACACACACACACACAGATTTGAACACTGTGAAATTAGAATATTTTTTACCCTGATGGCATTTCACACTGGAACTGTCATCAACTTTTCTTTTTTAGAGATACACGGAGTAAAAAATGCATTTTCTAATTGGTGTTTTTTAAAAAGAGAAATGCAGCAGTTGGTCTTTTATTTGCCAAAATTTACTGAACTCTTGGAATTCTCAGCCCTCTTGGCGACCCTGGAGATACAAAACTGAACAATATAGTCCCCCAAGAACCACCACCTGAGAGGGGAGGCAAATATGCAATTACAATGTCGTGGGGGAATATTCACAGCAATGCGTTAGGCCAATCATCAGGACCAAATCAAATTCACTGCTGGTGAATTTCTCTTCCACCAGGGGAGATTTCCTCACCCCCTCTCCTGCAACATGCACAGGAAACGGGGATGAAGGCAGCCACCAGCTCCATGGTTCATGCTGACAAGAGCACCCAGGACGACCCAATATTTTTCCCGTAATGCACTGCTAACGTCAAGAAGTCCCATTTTAGAGTCTGACAGCTGCATGGCTTTTCCAATAATATTGAGGGAGAAGTCACTGAAAATAACTGCTCAGCCTGCAAAAGGCAGATGCCCCAAATCCTTGCCTCACATGCTGCCAGGGCCCCACATTTTTCCCTGATCGACCTTAGAGAATGCGGACAGGGGAGAAAGGGAGAAGCCCTTACCTGGTTCTTGAAAGTGCTCTTCATTCGATAAAGTTCTAGACAAGATCAGAATTAACGCCTCTTTAAACTGATCAAAGTGTACCTAAAGGAAAAAAAAAAGTCAAGATTAAGTTTCAAATCATTTCCATAGAGGCTGACATTGTGCAAGGCCAGCACCCCATTTGGGTGGTTACTGAAGTTTTGGATGCTCTACTTTCCCACCCAGCTCCCTGCTAAAGTGCCTGGGAAAGCAGCAGAAGGTGGTCCAAGTCCTTGGTTCCTTGCGCCTACGCAGGAGACCAGAAAGAAGCTTCTGGCTCCTAGCTTCTGCCTGGTCTAGCCTCAATCATTGCGACCATCTAGGGAGTGAACTAACAGATGAAGATCTTTCTCTCTTTCTCACTCTCCCACCTTTTCTCTCTCTTTCTGTAACTTTGCATTACAATCTGATAAATTAAAAAAAATAAATAAACCAATTGCCACAGCCGCAGGAATAGAAATCTATCTACAAAGTACCAGAAACCCTTTTGTTCCTGTCCTGGTGACCCCAGAGTAAGCTGACCTTGGAGTGAGTCCACCTTGGGTGCCTTTTGTGTCTCAAACACACACAAGGGAAAGTGGGCTGATCCTTTCTGACCCCCCACACCAAACGCTGACACTGACTTGACTCCAGCTGTCAGGAAAAAGCAATAGGGCAAAACCCTCCCAACGAGCGCCCAAGAAGAAGTGCTCTGAACCCTTCACTCCTGTTATTTTTTCTGAGTAACACCAGATGAGAAAGGTGTTAGGTTAGAGACTAACTAACGGACACTTCCCAAGCTAATTATATGCAGCCACTGTGCCTCACAAATCCTTTCTTCTCCCAGGAAAGTGCAGCAGGAATCAAGAATTCCTTAGGGAATGACTCACACAGTCTGGCCTGGGGCAGGTGTATGATGCTCATCTCCTGAGACCCTTATGACTTGATAAACAAGTAAAAACAAATAGCCCACACCAAGGATAGAAGGCTCTTAGAAAGCCCATTCCTGAATTCCTAAAAGAACAATGACCTTGAAGGCAATGAACCAGGATCTAAGTATTACAGAACTGAATTCTGCGTCCAAATGGGGATACCACCTCGGTTTCTATAAAAATTAACCAAAGAAGTTTTCTTTGTTTTCAGATTTATTTATTTATTTGAAAGGCAGAGTTACAGAGAGATCTTCTGTCTGTTCTGTTGGTTCATACCCCAAATGGCCACAATGGTCAGGGTTAGACTGGGCTGAAGCCAGGAGCCTAGAACTCCATCTTGGCCTCCCATGTAAGGCCAGGGACCCAAGCACTTGGGCCATCTTCTGCTGTTTACCCAGCTGCATCAGCAAGCAGCAGGGACTGAAATGGAGAAGCCAGGACTAGAACCAGTTCTCAGCGGATTCTGGCGTTGGTGCCACATGGTTGGCATGAAAACAGTTTCCTTGTGGCCATTTGTATGTACTCTTTTATGACTCAAATGTATCAGATTCTACACTGACAGAAGAGGGAGAGACTCCATTTCTTCCCACCATAATTCCAGTTGGACAAGGTGGCTTTGGTTCACACCATTTGCTGTTATGGGTTGCTCTGGATGTTGTCCACAACACAGCACCTAAGCTTAAATTTAACTGATGGATACAAAAACAGGTTAAGCTGCAACCTGTAACATGGCCTACAGTGTAGTTACTCCACTTTCTTATACCATTAGCAGCAAGCAGTTTGAAAGCACAAGAAAATGGCCCAAGTACTTGGACCCCTGTTCCCATGTAGGAGACCAAGAAGCAGCTGCTGGATCCTAGCTCTAGCCTGGACCAGTGCTGGCTGTTGTGATCACTTAGGGAGTGAACCAGTGGTCGAAAAATCTTTCTCTCTGCCTCTAACTTTGCCTTCCAAATAAATCTTTAAAAAATAAAAATTTAGTGGCTGGCATGATGGCTCAACTGGCTAATCCTCTACCTGCAAGCACTGGCATCCCATGTGAGTGCTGGTTCATGTCCCAGCTGCTCCACTTCCCATCCAGCTCCCTGCTTATGACCTGGAAAAGCAGTGGAAGATGGTCCAGAGCCTTGGGACCCTGTTCCCACATGGGAGACCCAGAAGAAACTCCTTGCTTCAGATTGGCTCAGCTCTGGCTGTTGCAGCCATGGAGATCTCTCTCTGTCTCTGCTTCCCTCTGTAAATCTACCTTTCCAATAAAAACAAATAAATCTTAATAAAATTCTTTTTAGATTATATAGACATACTTTTCAAAGTCTTATTTTTATTTTTAAGGCATAGAACTTGATGACTGGATATATGTAAGTACTCAAAAATAATCACTGCATTCAAATTAATAAATACATCCATTACCTCACATAGTAACTTTTTAAAAATTACTTATTGGTTTTTTAGGTTGTGAAAGCACTTAGCCTATTTCAACTCATATTGTGTGGATTTTAAAAATCACATTAGGAGCTAACATCTATGACAGAAGCAGGGCACTTTTCAGGGTACAACCCCTGAAAGAGTTAAAATGTGACAGAAAGGTAAGCTGTGCTAATTAAGCTTCATAGTTGACAAGGGACTCTGCATCCCAGATCCATCCCTTGTGGGCAAAGCCATCCTCGCACCAGCCAATCAGCTCCATCCCCTGTGGGCAAAGCCATCCTCGCACCAGCCAATCAGCTCCATCCCCTGTGGGCAAAGCCTTCCTCTCACCAGCCAATCAGCTCCATCCCATGTGGGTAAAGCCTTCCTCTCACCAGCCAACCAACCAGCGGTCACTACACACCCACGCACACTCCCACCCACGGCCACTAGCCAGGCGTCTCCTCATTCCAGCTAACATCATCATTTCTTCCAGAGAAGGCAAGAGAAGGGGCAGAGGACACAGGAGGCTCCGGAGCAGGTGGATTCGGCATCTAATTCAGCTTGTATTGCTCACTTCCTATTGTGAACTGGCTACCTCACTAAGCCTCTTAATTCGTGCATCTGTGCAAGTGGGGAGATAAAGGAAAGATATGATTCATCCACAGATCTTTATCAAGCAGCTGTCACATGCCAGCACTGCCCTAGGCCCTGGCGACAAGGCAGCAACCAAGGAGGATAAAATCCCTGTCACCACAGAGCACAGACCCTCAGGAAATGTCATGGGGAGTCCGATGGGCACTGTGCCCAGAGCATGGCAGTGTTATGTTAATTATGACCCTACTGTGCTGACAGCAGTGTTAGGAAGATAACAAGTGCATCACATACATTACACAGAACATTGTGGGATGCAAGAGGGTACTCCAGAAATTTACGGAAAATGGAATTCAAAGGTGCCTCTGTTGATGCAAAACAAATGAGAAATCCATGCCTTGATGGAATCTTCAAAATGTTCACACAAATTATTACCCTCCCCAAAAAAGTCTATGAACATTTCAAAATGTTTTTGGCACCAAAACAAACCTACAGCATTTAGTTGTTTCCTACAAGCTGAAGTACTCTTGGATTAGACACCCAGCAAGCGATGGGTAACACTCCTGAAGGGATTAATGGGATCTGTAACTATCATCCCCACTTCCATAGAGAAAACAAGACATTCTGGAGCAAAGCAACTGGGCATAGAGTGACAGAAACAGTCAAGGAGGAGTTTGGGATCCCACAGCCCCCCACGCCCATCCCGAGGACCTGTGCAGCTGCCCAGAATCAGAGCAACAGATCGCAGCGCCGAGCTGCCCTCTCTCGTGGTGCTCCTTTAGGGACCTGGATGAAAACCTAGCTCTGTCCCCAGAATGCTGAGTCCTTTATTCGTGACTTCCCGGGTCTCCGATGAGTCTTCCCAAGGTCTAGGTTCTGACAGAGGTAGCTGTGAAGAGCCTTTGGCAATCTGGTCCCCACAGGGACAAGTGGCAATGACGGTCTCGTCTGGTCTACATACCTCAATCTCACACCCCTGAACAAGCAAGTAGCAAACACTTTTACAATCTGGGGCACTAGTGGCTGAAGTCCTCACTTTGAATGCACCAGGATCCCATATGGGCACCAGTTCTAATCCTGGCAGCTCTGCTTCCCATCTAACTCCCTGCGTGTGGCCTGAGAAAGCAGGCAAGGTCACCCCAAAGACTTGGGACATTGCACCTACGCGGGAGACCAGGAAGAGGCTCCTGGCTCATAACTTCATATCAGTTCAGTTCCGGCCATTACGGCCCTGTGGGGAGAGAATCATCAGATGGAGGATCTTCCTCTCTGTCTCTCCTCTCTGTATATTTGATGTTCCAATAAAAATAAATAAATCTTAAAAAAAAGACTTCTACAACCTGGAATTAATGTTAATCAACTTCCAAGGCTTTAGATGAGAGCTAAGAATCCCTCAAATACGGCAAAACAAAACAGAAGTTTTGAGACTACAAGCCCCAACTACACAGAGGCGATATATCTTACCAGTTTCCATTTTATAGTCTCCTGGACAATCCACACACAACTGCATCAAAAGACAAGACATGTTCAAAAGTTGAGGCAGTTGTCACAAGCCAGCCACTCTTCTCATAGCAAACGTTATGGGACCAATTCAGGAGTCTCTCTACTCTTTCTCCTGATTTATTACAAACTTCATTTTTATGCTATCGAAGCCACTGCAGATCAGAAGCAGAAATCAGACAATGACACCTCAAGATAAGCACAAAGAGCACCGACTGATATACTAAGATTGAGAAGACACCGTTCTCCTGCAACCAAAGCTAAAACAAAAGACCTTTCATATTTCAATAAGCTATTTCTTTTTAAAAGTATTTATTTTTGTTGGAAAGGCAGATTTAAAGAGAAGGAGACACAGAAAGGAAGATCTTCCATCTGCTGATTTATGCCCCAAATGGCTACAACAGCTGCAGCTGATCTGATCCAAAGCCAGGAGCTTCTTCTGAGTCTCCCACCAGGTTGGAGGGACCCAAGGACTTGGACCATCCTCAACTGCTTTCCCAGGCCGCAAGCAAGTAGAGCAGCCAGGACACAAACCAGCACACATATGGGATTCCAGTACTTGTAAGAAGAGAATTTTAGTAACTTGAGCGATTGCACTAGGCTCCAAAAATATGTTTTTAAAGATTTATTTATTTTGATTGATATACAGAG